CCATCACTAGTGGAGGAGCACTGATCGGGGCAATATTCGCTGGGTTGACGGCCGACCGCTATGGCCGCAAGATATCCATATATTGTGGTTGTGTCGTGTTTGTCGTCGGCGCCATACTCCAAGCTGCAGCCTTTAGTATCGCTCAAATGACTGTAGGCAGAGCTGTCGTCGGACTTGGCGTCGGTGAGTGTCCCTGAAACCCATATCGACTGTGACAGAGCCGTGTTCTACACCTCTGCCCTTGCCTTGTCGTCCATATCAATGCTAACAATAGAGCAGGAAGCGCGGCAATGGTTGTGCCTCTGTAAGCCTTTCTTTCTTTGGCCAACCTGCTTTGCGCTTAGCGAAGCCAGTTCCTGCCCAAATATCACACGCTGAGGAGAGGCTGACATCGTCACAGCTACATTTCCGAGATTGCTCCTGCAAAGTACCGTGGCCGCATGATCACAATGCAAACCTGTAATATCACAGGTGGACAATTCATTGCATACTGTATCGGAGCTGGGTTCGCCGAGGTCAAGTCTTCCGGCTGGCGATATGTTGTTGCGATCGGAGCAATTCCTGCCATCGCCCTGGCCCTATTCCTACCCTGGTGTCCGGAAAGCACTCGGCAGTTGGTAGCACACGGGAAGCTGGAGGAGGCTGATGCCGTGCTGGCCAGACTATATCCTCGTTCTTCCCCAGAGCAGCGTCAGGACAAGATCCGAGCGATCCAGCAAGACCTAGAGCAAGCCACTGAGCTGATGGCCCACAAGTCGCTGTGGTGGTCGTACAAACAGCTGCACGTCGTTCCCGCCAATTTCCGTGCCATGCTCACCGCGTGCTGCGTCATGGGAGTAAGCCAGCTGTGCGGTTTCAACACACTGATGTGAGTCTTTAGAACCCCCCTTTCATCCTGCATGGCATACATCTCACATAACCCACCTGCAGGTACTATAGCGGCACTCTGTTTGCTCTTGTCGGCTTCAACAAGCCTGTCGCCGTATCAATTGTGGTTGGGGCTTGCAATTTCCTGGGATGCTGTATCAACCTAGTCATTGTCGATCGCTTTGGCCGTCGGAAGATCCTCATCTTTACCGTGCTGGGCATGTCTCTCAGTCTGGTTCTCGCAGCTGTGGCCTTTCACTACATCCCAATCGACTCCAGTGACCTCACACTCGAGATCAACAGCGTAAATTGGGCTGGTATTTTGGTGCTCGTCACAATCATCTTCTATGTGGGCTTCTTCGGCACTGGGGTTGCCCCTGTATCCTGGATGGGAGCAGAGCGTCTCCCGCTTGAGGTACGTGCCATGGGTACCATGGTCATGACAGTTACCTGCTGGGGAACCAACATCATCATCGCGTCGACATTTCTATCGATGATGAAAGGATTGACCCCGAGCGGGGCTTTTGGCTTTTATGCTGCCATCTGCTTTCTAGGATTCCTGTTCTCCGTTTTCTGCTTTGCGGAAACCAAAGGCATGTCTCTAGAGGAAATTCGGGAGGTATTCAACCACGGTTTCGGTGTGGGATATGCACGGAGGTGGCAGAAACAACACGCCTTGGAGATCAAGAGAGCTGCCTCAACTGTCTAGTTGGAGACGAGGTACGAGATATCAGGCGGGAGTCGACCAGATGGGGGTAGCTGGGAGCCCAGCGCACGGCTTGCAGGATTGTAAAGCGTCAATGGCGAGCTTTGTGCAAAAAAACATACTGAGGGAAATATTGCCTTGAACGGCAGTGATAAAGTCTCGAGCATTGCGAGATTCTAGGCATGGGACGAGGTAGATCCTGGCAGGACAGGATCGGAGAGATTCATGGGGTCCTTAGTGGTCCAAGTAATTCCCAAAGTGCGCATGTAAAGGGATTACAGCTGGTGACTTGGCTTTCGGTGTAGTCTGCGTCTATTTTCTAGTTTGTGTGAAATGTCCAGAAGCACTTGTGATGCTGCCAACGCAAGAACAAGCTGTCATTGGAATATTTCTACTTGTATCGTTCTGCAATGTGGTCAGAGAGCTTGTTGAGAACTCGAAGCTCCTTTGTGAGAAGGGGGTAGAGAGAGATTTCTGGGCAGTGCAGCATTTGAGATAGGCCCGTTCTGGGTAAATATTGAGATTTGTTGGTCGTCCAATTATAGTCGTGGTGGTCGTGATGGAAGGTGAAACTGGCAAAATGCTGTTGCAGGCTGAATGCTCCGCCATTCATTTCAAATGACTGGATCAAATGACGCTCGGCATCCCAGCGAGCCAGGAGCTTTCCATTGCCAACTCCGCAGATTGGAACTCTGATATCAATCATTGACGCCGCCGCTTGAAATTCACCCCCATTGGGCTTTCAGTAACACTTTAGTCCTGCCCTTTCAAGCCGTCGCTAGAGATGCAGGCCTTCAAAGTCTGCGCTCCTCGGGCGCTGCGATCTGCGACTCCCACTACCTCAAGAAGCTATGCGACAGTCTCTTCTAGTTCACCATATAGCCAGACGCGGAATAACCTGAGAATCAACTCCGACACCAAAGTCCTCTTTCAAGGCTTCACGGGAAAACAGGGTACCTTCCATGCCCAGCAGGCAATTGAGTATGGAACAAAGGTTGTGGGTGGAACGAACCCGAAAAGCAAGTACCCTAAGATTTTGACGTAGAGATACGGCATACTGACTGCAAGCAGAGGCCGGTACATTGCATCTTGATCTGCCCGTCTTCAAGAATGTTGCCGAGGGAGTCAAGGAAACCGGAGCTACCGCAAGCGTCATATTTGTACCACCTCCAGTCGCAGCATCTGGTATAATGGAAGCCATTGAAGCTGAAGTCCCGCTTGTCGTCTGCATTACTGAAGGGTAAGGCAGCTCTTATCCTGTTTGACCTTGCTGACGACCTCAGAATTCCTCAACATGACATGCTCAAAGTTACCGACGCGCTAAAGACCCAAAGCAAAACACGCCTGGTTGGTCCCAACTGCCCTGGAATCATCGCACCCGGACAATGCAAGATCGGTATCATGCCTGGCTTCATCCACAAACGAGGAAGAGTTGGAATCGTCTCAAGATCAGGAACATTGACATACGAAGCGGTCAACCAAACAACCCAAGCGGGGCTCGGACAATCTTTGGTGGTCGGTATCGGTGGTGATCCATTCAGCGGCACCAACTTTATCGACTGCCTGAAGGTTTTCATGGAAGACGACGAGACTGAGGGTATTATTATGATTGGTGAAATCGGAGGCAGCGCCGAAGAAGATGCAGCAGAATTCCTGAAGAGCGAGAACAAGAAGAACAAGCCCGCAGTCAGCTTTATTGCTGGTATCAGTGCCCCTCCCGGGCGCCGCATGGGACATGCTGGGGCTATTGTCAGTGGAGGAAAAGGTGGTGCCGAGTCTAAGATCTCGGCCTTGGAGGCTGCTGGCGTCGTCGTGGAGCGGAGCCCTGCGATGTTGGGCAAGTCGCTGCATGCACAATTCGTCAACCGGGATCTGGTTTGATTGGGAGGCGTTCAGATCAGGTGTGGTCGGTGAGGAGAGACAACAATCTCCCAGGGAAACGTGCATGTATTTTTGAGACCGCGAACAAACCGCATGTGATAACATTCTACAAGGCTAATTGCCGGAGGAGCCTTTGAATGACCAGCTTCTGTACATGGGCTTTCCTATGAAACCTCTAATTTGCATCATACCTCCAATCCTGCGCCGTATGTATGCCTAGTTCCTCGCATACACTGATGTGCGTCTTATTTCATAGACCCAGTCACAATCATAGTGATATGGCGCCCCGCCGACTTGCCCGAACATGCAACCAAGCTTGAAATCCGCAAAATACTAAGAATCCCTGCTCTTGCTGTCAGTATTCGCGCCACAGGTAGCAATTCAGTAGACTGAGACTCACGGCATATACCGCTACCGCGATGAATATAGAGGCCGCGACTGCCCCGCCGTCTTCAGGATCCTCTTCCAACCCCATCATCATATGGTGATCCCGCTGTACAACCCGTCAATCAGCATGAATTTCTCATGATATCTTGTGGAGTATATTTCAGGTCACGCTCGTACCGCAAACAGGCTCCCGATGATGGAGAGGATGACAATGGCGAAGACCGACAGAACGGTGCTATTAAAGGGTTAGCAGTCTGCATCACATATTGATCTCAGGGATAGCACGAGGACTGACCAGCTCCATGCGTTCAAAGCGGACACGACGGGCTTCATATTGAGTTGTTTACGACAACCTGCTGTGACTGAGAAGGGGGAGTTTGCGCTTCGAGTCGGCACCGTTGAGCCGTTCAACGTGGTCGATGGTCACTCGAGGATACAGCCTGCGACAAGCCCTGTGCCACAAGTTTGACAACGGAGTAGGTGGATGTTGAGGAGGCCTTTGGGCTGCACAGGAGTGACGTGCGCTTCCTTGAGAGGTTGGACCTCTAGGTTTGAGGTTCCTCAGCGGCCAGCATCGGGACAGCTCGACGATGCGGAATGTACTGAGCGACTGGCCAATCAAACGAGCTGTTGGCTCCGACGGATCAACCTTATTCCATGCCGTTCTCAAGTCTCCCTCATGACTTGATCTGATGATCCATTCTCCTGTTCAGGTGTATCAACCTTTCAACCTTCCTTCACCGTTTCTAACTCCCGACGAACATTATCTCTTTGACATATTCTTCCTCTCCTACTTGGCTTCTTTATCCTTCCACTCTCCTTGACAAGAATGATTTAAACGGACCTAATTCAGGACACGATTCGGATTCCTCTCTCTAGATATCACATTGAAGACATACCAGGATTCAGCACGTGTCGTCTTACGAACTCTCTCGCCGGCTCTTTTTGACGCGCTTAAGCCTGTCAAGAGGCGCCTTCCGACTCATTCATGACCCGTAGTGATCATAGCTCAGACAGCAATGAGCGCTCTCCGCTCATTCGAGCCAGCAAGACCTCGAACAGAAATGACGATGTCCCAGAGCAAACGCTTGGACAGCAGAGGCGCCATTCGGAGGAGCCACGCCCACTCGAGGATGGGAGCTTTTCAGATGAGCGAGCCATGTCTGAGGCTATGGACTATGAAGAGTCTATAGTGGAATCCAAGGACGCCCTCTACCTCATCCTCCTCACGGTTTGCATTGGAGGCCTGCAGATCGTCTGGTCTGTCGAACTCTCCAATGGATCACCATATCTGCTATCTCTGGGGATGAGTAAAGCACTGCTTGCGTTTGTTTGGCTTGCAGGGCCCTTGACCGGCGTACTTGTTCAGCCCTATGTCGGAATTCTGAGTGATCGATGTCGAGTCCCATGGGGCAAAAGGAAACCCTTCATGATTGCTGGAACGCTGGGCACCGTTGCTTCTTCGATGATCCTCGCATACGCCCGCGACATTATTAGGGTTCTTGGAGGGCTTGCCAGGGATGCTCAGTACACTGGAGGTTACAAGACCGGGACCATCATCCTTGCTACAATCATGATGTGGTGTCTGGACTTTTCCATCAACACTGGTTAGTTCGTACTCAAAAAGGCTCATTCATGTATCTGACAGTATCCCAGTTCAAGCCGCCATTCGCGCTTTCATCGTCGACAACGCCCCTTCCCATCAACAAGAGTCAGCCAATGCTTGGGCTTCCCGCATGACCGGCGTTGGTAATGTGTTTGGCTATGTCTTTGGATATCTGAATTTGCCGCGTTATTTCAGCTTCTTTGGGAACACCCAGTTCAAAGTCCTGGTTGTTCTCGCATCCATTGCTCTGAGTTCAACTGTCTTAATCAGCATCCTGGCCATCAAGGAGCGCAATCCACAACTTGACCCTCCTTCCAAAGCAGATTACGAATCAGGCGGGTTACTATCCTTCTTCAGACAAGTATTCAGTTCCATGAGGCGCCTGCCACCTCAAATCCGCAAGGTCTGCGAGATACAGTTCTGTCAGTGGTTAGGATGGTTTCCTTTTCTCTTCTACATCACAACTTACATCGGCCAACTGTACGTTGATCCGCATCTCAAACCTGGGCTTTCGGACGATGAAGTGGAGAAGTTTTGGGCCAAGGCTACTCGGATTGGGACGCTTGCACTGTTGACCTATGCTATCGTCTCGTTCTCGTCGAATATAATTCTGCCTTTCTTGGTTGTACCCACGTACAAATCCAACGGGAGGCATGATGCCGAAGAATTTACGCGACCAATCACTCCGACCTCCCCTATCGGCACGAGATCACTAGAGTTCCCTTGGAATGAACGGCCTATACTAAGTCGCTCTCAGACCAGCTTATCGATGAATCGGTCACTCCCTAACCTTGTCCCCAGCACGTCGCCCGATAATCCTAGCGGTCTGAGGAAGTGGTTGGACAAATTGCAAATCCCAGGGTTAACCTTGCGACGAGCATGGTTGATGTCTCAACTCCTCTTCACGCTATGCATGTGGAGTACTGTGTTTATATCTACACCGTTGGCAGCATCTATCATGACCGCCTTGGTCGGAATCTCCTGGTCACTGAGCCTTTGGGCACCATTTGCATTGATCTCGGCCGAGATTTCACGACGTGACGAAATGAGACGGAAGAAGCATCGGCAGCGACTGATGAACGGAGAAGACCTTGACGATATCGATGATAAAGAAGCAGAGCAGGAGGATCAAGCTGGTATTATCCTCGGACTGCACAACGTGGCCATTAGCGCTCCACAAATTCTGGCGACGTTAATCAGCAGCGCCGTTTTCAAACTGCTTCAGAAGCCCCGAAACGAGCCGGGCGATGTTAGTGTGGGGTGGACGTTGAGAATTGGTGGACTCGGAGCACTGGCAGCCGCGTTCATCACTTGGCGGATGAAAGAACCTGTGAACGAAGATGATACAGAGAACTGATTTGCGGGGCGGTATCATTCGGTCGTAGGTCGGCCTGCTTCGCCAGTGGTCATTGTTTAACCCTGTTTGAACATCCGAGTTGGAGCGAGCAGACCATGGGATTCTTTCTTTTCCGAAACATCAACATGTTCTGGATATACTGCACTTTTTTCATACTAGCACGAGGTTCTGGTTGTTAAGGGTTGGCACATGGAGGACTGAAGGGGTCAGGGGGTTCTCAGCGGCATTATGGCCGTAATCTAGGGACGGAAAGGGCATTGTATAGTGTTTGGATACATCTGCAAGGGGTCTCTTTGGCACAATCGCCTTCTCTTTTTCAGTGACATGTCCTTGGGGCTCAAGACTCATTCTGGATGGCGCCCTGCACGGCTTCATGTGACGGCGGGTTAGGTGCTCGGCGGCAACGACCTGTTCTTGTCACTTCCAACCAAGCTGGGTAACAACGCTCGGCAGAGGAGATGATGGATCTCGTTGTGACTGCAAAGTGATGGATGGAGAATGCGTCCGCGCTGTATTATTCATGGTCAGCATTCCCCCCCGGGGGGGGGGGGGGGGGAGGG